TATATATATATATATATATATATACACACACACACACACACACACACTGACTTGAGTGTACACAAGTAAGCACCTAGTTAGAAGAAATACAGACTACTGTCTGCAAGAGCCCCACACACAAAGGGGGCCAAAGAGGCGCAGGCTGGGCACCAGGGTTCTAATTTAACATTTTTTATATCTAGGAACAGGTTCCCCTTAAAGTGGGCATTTCATATCATGGGGGGGCCGGCTACAAGAATCTGGAAGAGACAGCTGGCTCCAAATGACAAAACAACATAATTTTTTGTCAAAGGACCACCAAACCCCGAATCGTGGGGTCTTCTCTGCACGGGCTGCTGTCATGTTTTGAATTCGGCACGGCTGTGGGTGGCTCAGCCCACACAACTACACCGTACATTCACAGATCTTTTGACAATATGTGTTAATGGAGTGACTACAACTCCTATCAGGGAGGGAGTGACAAGTTCCCAATGGAATACAAGTGCAGTGACATGACCACACTTGTAATCCATTGATACTTCCTTCTGTCCTGTAACTGAATGTCTGTACCTTGGTGACCACAGAGGCTGAGAGGAAGAGTCTGCAGAAGCCAGAGCATTGCAACCCCATTCCTCTGATAGCGGTTGCAATGCTTTTAAAGCGCAAATGCATAAATAAATAAATTGCAGATTTTTCCTTTTATTGATCTGTGTGCATTTATGATTTTTCGGGGGAAAGTTGGACTATGCCTTTAAGAAAAGCAGCGCTCTATGTCTTATACACACACTGATGCCCCCAGTGCCTGCAACATTTCTATTTGTTATTATAAACCACACAGGAAAATCCCAACAACAGATACAAAGGTGGCTCACCGCTTCTCCCTGCTCGCCAGACTTGTACACACATGACACGATCTCGTTGTGCAGAAGTAAGAAGAGAGCCTCATCGGCCATATCCTGCTTGTTCATGTCCTCTGCAGGCTGCTGACGTGCACGCGCGCTGTGTCTGTGCCCGGGAGAGAGTGCCCGGTGATCGTTCTACAGAGCTGCAGTATACATTCACATCAGCCTGACATCCTCGGCTCCGCACATGTTGCGTCATTTCCGTTTCCGTTTGGGAAAAACAGCTGGAACACCGGTAACCATGGAAACCAGTACGCTATAGGAGAAGCACTGATTTTAGCACTATAGTGTTCCAGCTGTGCTTCTCTACAATCTATTCTAGATTGTTGATAAATAAATAAATTATAATTATATAATATATATTTATTTGTATTTATTTTGTTGCCTAGAAACATGAATTGGCAGCCTCTGCATTTGGCCATTTTATGCCCATACTGGCCAATGCTGCAACCTTTCCAATCATTTAGGGGGGCACACTGGAATGGGTGGGAGCAAGTGATTATTTTAAAAGTGTTTTGAGCGTTTTTAGGCGCATTTTTGAAGTGGTTTTGAGCATTTTGCAGGCGTTCTGCTTTAGGAATTTTTCTATTTGGCCCATAAACAGCAGAAGCACCCGTGACATCATGCAAAAACGCTAGAAAAAAATGCTTCAATAGACGCTCAAAAACCGCTTGTGATGCTCGCATTAACATTGACGCCTATGGGGACAAAGAGCTCAAATCTGACAAAAAGCTCATATACAAGTGTTTTGCTACAAGGGACAGAATGCTCAGGTGTTAACAGAGGTCAAAGAAAAGAAGGAGTCTTCGTGATGAGCGTTTTGCAGCTTTGAGCTACAAAATGCTGAGGTGCGCATGGGGCCTTCAGTTTACCAGTATCTGTGTAACTGACAAGGCAAGGGCAATTTCTCTGCTCTCCGCACGCTGTCAGGTATCCAGGAAAGCCGGTGGGGTTAGCCTCCCATGCTTGCAACTTGGCAACCTGTGACGTGAATGGGGGGGGCCTGCTGCCTTTGCACATGCACCGTTTGACCCAGATGCCTTGCTATGGGACTGAGCGCGTAATGCCCCCAATCCACCCATGCTGCAGGGCTGGAGTACACTGTACATATATGCATTTTGTTCTTTGCACTATTTGTCACTATGTCACCCTGAGGAAAGGACCATGCATGTCCCCGAAACATTGGTTGTGTTTGACACACTAAATAATTAAACGCATTTCCTGACGTCTACAAACTTTGTGAGTGCTGGTGATTTCTCCATACATCCTTGAGTATGCACGGCACCATCCATGGCATCACTTCAAGCACCATGTCTACCAGGGCCGCCATCAGGGGGGTACCGCCGATACTCATGTAAGGGGCCCAGGTATCCCGTCCAGGACCCTTAAATGAGTATCGGCCGACGGTGAAGGGCGAGGAACTGCTTCACTAGGGCCTGCAGCAGCGGTGGAGGCCTGGCCCTATCAGCGCAGGGTCCAAGCATTGCCACTCCAGCGGCCCTCGAGACAAGCTGGGGCCCCATCAGTGACGTTGCTCGTCTGATGTCGGAGTGGCCGGAAGTGACGTCACTCCGGCGGCAGAGGAGGCCTGGTGTGCAGGTATGAGGAGCTGGGAGGGAGGGGGATGCAGCCCTGACCAGCCCACCTGAGACCCCTTCAGAGCCCACCATAGACAGTCTCAGATGGGCTGTGCAGCAGCTATGGTGGGCTCTGCAGGGTCACTCAGGTGGGTCCTGTGTCTATCGCATCACTAAGCCCTGCGTTCAGCGCATCACTAAGCCCTGCGTCCAGCGCGTCACTAAGCCCTGAGCCGAATACAGTTTGGGGGAGGCCTGGCCTAAAGTCGTGTAATGGGCCCCAAAATTTCTGATGGCTGCCCTGATGTCTACCATATGGTCCATATACGCTGAATAGTGTGCATGTATTTTTAATCTATGCATGTAAATGTCTGTACTAATGTTTATACGCGTGCAGCATAAATGTCCTCTATTGGAGTACAAGAGACGCCTGTGGCCAACAAAGGATGATAGGGAGCTCAGTGGGAGTCATCTTTGTCTTAGTAACCATGGATGATAGACAGCTCCGTGGGAGTCATCTGTGTTCTAGCAACCATGGATGATACGCAGCTCAGTGGGAGCCATCTGCACCGTAGCAACCAATTGATGATTGGCAGCTCACTCAGAGTTATATATGACCTAGCAACCATGGATGCTCACCCTTTCACTTGAGCTTGAAAAAGAGGATCACCTCGAAACGCGTCGCTCCTTTATCACTGTTCCGTGCACGTCCTCTCCCATCCCTCGGTCCCTTTCACTCCGTCACGTCCTAAGAACACTGCCATCAAGACCATAGGCAGCTTCTTCACCAGTCCCCGGGCACATACAGCATCCAGTCCACATTGATTCCGCCTTCATCCATCCCTCCACTTGCTGGGAGACACCGAATACATCCCGCACTGCCCACACTCCAAAAGGGCCCTCCATAACAGGACCTTGGCTCCACAAGTAAGTCCTTCACCTCTTGTGATTTGATTAATTTTTGTTTTTCCACCCGTCACACACAGACACTGGCTGTCCCTATACCCCTCACATTCCCAGGATTTGCGCTCTAATTTTTCCCCCTTCTTACCATGGATGATAGGCAGCTCAGTGGGAGCCATCTGCGTCTTAGCAACAAAGGATGATAGATAGCATGAAAATCAAAAAGAGAGAACCGGAGCGCCACAACCTAGTGCAATAAGGTGAGTTTAAAAAAAAAAAAAAATAAGATTTTATTTCAATTTTTAATACAAGAGGTACAAAAATACAGGTGGGTTTTTGAAGGGGCAACACAATATTTTCTGATATGCACTCACATGTGGCAGGTTTGAAGGAAGCTCAGGAATTTGTGACCATGAGCAGTGACGTGGTGTCAGGTGGGTCATCCAGTGGCTGGGAGGAACTCCAGACATCCCAACTCTCCCGGGCGCTCCGGGAGTCTCCCACTATTGGATAGCGGCTCCCGGCCGCCCGGGAGAGAAACACTTCCTCCCGGAAAGGTTTATCTGCTCGATCGAGCAGATAAACCTTTCCCTGCGATCGTTTTTTTTTTTTCTTTTTCTGACATCGGGAGCCGCGGCCCGACCGTCAGTCAGAAAAGAAAAAAAAAGGCATACGAATCCATAGCTAGATTCCTATTGGCTATTGCACTTTGCAATAGCCAATAGCAAACTAGGTAATGTACCCGCCCACTGCTGCTGTCAATCAGCAGAGGGGGACCTGAATTTTTCTATCAGGTCCTCTTCTGGTGATTGAAAGCAGCAGAGGGCGGGTGCAATAGCTAGTTTGCTATTGGCTATTGCAAATTGAAATAGCCAATAGGAATCTAGCTATGCATTCTTATGCCTTTTTTTAAATATTCTGACGACTGCAACTGTCAGAATACTAAAAACAAAATCAGAAAAAAAACCTGCAGATAGCAAAGAAGCTATTGCTTCCTGTGCTATCTGCCATCATTTCAGGGGGGTGCTCTCTCCCAGCCCCCCTAACCCCCCTCCGCGGATGGGGGGGGGGGGTAGAGGGCGCCTCCCTGAAATGAGAAGGACACCTCCCTGAAATGGCTTCTTTCAGGTTGGGATCCCTGGAACTCAGCTGTGTACACCAGGCCACTGGATGTCCCACCTAACAACACATCACTCCTCATGGTCACATATTGCTGAGCTTCCTTCAAACTCTGCCACATGTGAGTGCATATCAGAAAATATTGTGTTCCCCCTTATTATTGCACTAGGTTGTGGCACTTCGGTTCTCTCTTTTGTTTTTAAAGGGATACACCCTTATGCTAAATGATGTCCCTTTTGTTATTTCAGAAAGTCGGGATGTATGCTAAGCACCCAGTGAGTGAAGTTCTCTAATCTGTCTGTACACTCCTGATTCATGTATAGCTCAAGCATGATCTTTTTTTTTGTACGCCCACTCTACGCCAGGTTTTCCCACTCCACAAAAAGTTTGTGCCCTTGTTCTATCAAAGATTGTGACTGGGTTGGAATGTGTGACCGGTCACACATCATAAATCACGCCCATTTTTTCTGCGGTAAAATATGTGACCAGCAAAAGGTGAAGAATTCCAACGATTTCTCAGCAGTTCCATGGCAGATCGGCATTGCAGATGGTATGTGCAGGAGAACCGATCTGCCCTGGAACAGCTGATCGGTCCTATAATGTCACTTCTATTCGACTTTGTGGAAAGTGAGATCGCAGTTACAAAGTCAGATAAAAGTGACATTTCAAGACCGATCAGCTGTTGCAGGGCAGATCGGTTCTCCTGCACATACCATCTGCGATGCCGTTGTTCTATCAAAGATTGTGACTGGGTTGGAATGTGTGACCGGTCACACATTTAAACGTAATCACGCCCATTTTGTCCGCTGTTAAAATATGTGTCCGGCAAAAGGTGTAGAATTCAAAGCTTCCAGGGCAGATTGGCATCGCAGATGGTATGTGCAGGAGAACCAATCTGCCCTGAAACAGCTGATCGGTCCTGAAATGTCACTTCTATCCGACTTTGTGAAATGTCAGTTCGCACTCACAAAGTTTGATAGAAGTGTGAGTGCGATCCAACACATCACAAAGTCGGATAGAAGTGACATTTCAGGACTGATCAGCTGTTCCACGGCACATCGGTTCTCCTGCACATACGATCTGCGATGCCGATCTGCCCTGGAACAGCTGAGATAGCGTTGGAATTCTTCACCTTTTGCCGGTGTTCACCTTTTGCCCCCCCCCGGCCCTAACAGCAGCATACGGAAGAGGTGGGGGCAACACCAGTGGCGGACCTAAGGAACAAAGGGCCCTGGTGCAAGATTTTTTTTGCCCCCCCAAAAAAAAACACATCGCTCGGCCGGCTGTTACCGGCGGTAGTTCCGCCACTGCTTATGTGGGCTGAAGGGGCAGCTGCTTTGGGCCCCACAACAATGATTGGGCCCTGGGCGACTGCCCCTTTTGCCCTGCGTTAAAGACGGCCCTGAGTATGTGTACAGGGAAATGCAGCGGGTGGCGTACGTGCAGTAGAGCGTTCTCGGCCAAACTTCTTACTTCTAAGTAAACCAGAAGTCAGGTTGTTGGAGATCTTGATAAGTTGGAACTTTCGATATAACACCGGTCACATATTTTGCCGCAGAAAAAATGGGCTAGATTACGTTAAAGGAGAATTATGAGTTG